AAACGGCCTCATTTGTATATATTTATCGCTTGATTTCGCCACGACAAAAATTACTTATTATGGGGTAATCGTCTTAGCATTAGCAACACGCACTTTAGGACTTACATGACATAATCGCTCGCATTGAAAAAGCAAATTATAACCCTACTGTGATGTGATTATTTGAAGTTGGAAAGTAGACAACTATATCTTTATACGGATTTTTAAGGGCGAATGTTTTCGTCCTGATACTTGAAAGCCGTACTTTTGATTATTTAAATTGATAATGGTATGCATGATTGAGGAACAAAGTTTAACCCCTCCTTGATACTATCAATACGTTAGGAGTCAACAAAATCCTCACAAACTGGTTCATTAGACAAAATTTTGTAGACTTCCAAAGCAAATGTGTCACGAATCGGTATTCAAGAATTTATGATTGAGGAAAATGAAATGCTCTAAAGTTTATTAATGACAAAGGCAACTATATAAATGTTATTTTTTTTAAGAATAATGTTCGAAATACCAAAATATGTGAATATTTTGCCTACTTTTGCCATACATGTCGTTATAATTATTATAAGCTTTAAAACAATTAGTCCCTTTGATAAATCTCGATAATGTAATAAGCTTTATTCAATATTATATTTTTTGGTAAAATATAGAATTCTTAGCGCAAAGTATCTCAACAAGTTTCCTTTTCTTATTTCTTGATCGATTCTGACAATAAATATTGAGTGATGACCAGTTAGATGTTAGGAGTTCGGTAATCGACATCTAAATAATGTTCATTCGTCTCAATGCATATTGCCAGCACCTTAATGTCGCTGATTGTACCTCTTTGTAGCATGTACAGCGAAAGATTGTAAATTTTTCATAAACGCGCCTGAATAGGTTGTGCGCTCAATAGACATAATGATGTGTTGAAACAAACAAGAAAACATAACTTGTCGAAATATCTAGATGGGAAGAACAGGTAGCTCAGATATTCAAGCAGGCCGCCGGTTATTCGTTCGAAATGGAACTAACCTATGATAAATATAATTTTCAAATATGTAAAAAGTATTTATATATAAATTACTTGTCATATAATATAATTTCCGTCGAAAACTTAACAACAACTTCAGAACTGTCGAAACTAAGGACTTAATTACTAACATATCTAGTTCATGATTCTTCTGTATTGCTTACCTGTGACTCAACACTGAATTAAAATCAGCACCTTCAGGTCGCATAATAAAAATGATACTTTTAAAAGTGAGTAAATGAAAATTTAACAGCACATATCTTCATGTTCAGTTAGTTTTTGTTATATATCAAAATACCTATCTGATGTCTACTTAACCATCTTAGTATGTACTGATTTATTCTCATTAACCATTTATGAATTTTAGACAGGCATTTATCTGAATAAAACTTAACAAACATTTGCTTAATGAATCCTGTTTCTTGTCAGAAAGTAAAGGTTCAACTGTCACTTCTAGTCTGATGTTAGGAAATGTTCATTTTAATTCTGGTTCTATTAAGTGATTACTGCACAATAATAAACAACTTTGAAATATTTTTGCTTAGTTTACGTCTATTCTATGAATGCATGTTTTTATGTAACTGGTATTTGTAGGATATAGATATCATCCTCTCTATCATATTCATCTAGTTGACTTTCTATTAACGTCATTATTATTATTGGATTATTTAAAGATTTGTAACTTGTATGTATATAAGATCTTATTTAAACAATCTTACATACTTTTAGTCGACGAGATAATGTGAATAATATGATTATGTATAATAATCATAACAATAAGCACTGAAAATAGATTACTGATTTTTATTTGATGCCAAACCAACAAAATTTCTTGTGTATATTCAATGGATAATATAAGTATTAAGCTGAAAAACCCGACTTTTTGTGATTGATTAACAATATCTTTGTTTTTTGAATTTATCCAAGAGTGAAATGGTTTAGAATTCTATGGCGAATAACGGTTTAAATTTTAAACAAATAACTTGTTGACAGGTGATTACAATTAAATTTAACTAACCAATCAAATGCTATCAGTATAGGAAGTTTGTGAAGGTTGTTACATTTTATAGTTAACATCATGGACTCATACTAGTTAGGTAATCATTGAAAACCAGGAAAACAAGTCAGTTCCGTTCTAGTATCGAACCCATAAGTATTGTGCACCGACGACCTTTGTCGGGATCATCATATCTCTCAGTCAAGTACGAAACCTTGAGGGCATTAGTAGTATACATGTTTGACACCAACCACTGTGATATTCAGGAACCATCTTACAATATCACTGGTGCTTTACAAATGTAAACCATTGTGTACCAGACACATGGTCTAAACGTTAAGTGCTCGCTGGGAGAACTGAAGTTATTGGGTTCGATCCACAGTGGTATTATGGATATGTACTCCTGAGATTGCTTTTATTAAAACCCAAAGGCTATTTAGCGCTTCCTGTTTTTCAATGGTTGTCTAGGTAAAGTTAGCTCTTATTGTAAACTACAAAGAAACATTACGAGTATACTACTACTAGTATGAGGGATTTCGAAAAGGCTACTTGATTTTTGTAGTTTTTAGCAAGGTTTGACTTCAGCTACTTAGTTTCTGAAAACCAGTTAATTATGGATAATCGTCTTATCAAAAGCTTTCATCCATCAGTGTTTAAATCTTAGCATGATGGAATCCAGAAGAAAATTACACTATGACATGATATGACATAAGGAAGAACAATGTATTATTAAATTACTGATTTTCATGAAGAACATGTTTTTATAAGTCATTTTACAAACACTGCATGATTATAGGTTCATTCATTCATACTGCTTCGCAGTATTTTCTTTCTGCAGTTATGAATCGATTCACTTAATTCTAGCGTAACTATCCTAATATAAAAATGTAAACTTCACTTACAGTTTACTCTAAGCATACAAGGACCTGAATAAATGTTATGTGTTTTACAAGACTTTAAATTGGATAACAGTATTAGTAGCCGTTTCAAATTACATAAATCAATTCCATATATGATAATATTTATGCAAAATTTATAAATAATCGCTTATGATTAATTGAATACATGTGAACGCTTTTTTTTCATTTTTGTGTTTGGATTTTATCAGTGCTTCCATATAGGAATACATTATAATTAATCCCTTTGATAAATTTGGATAGTGTAATAAGGAAACGAAGATTATCAGAATTATATGATATATTAGCACAATACATTCTGAACAATCTGATCACACATGTACTTGTTAAGAACATTTAAATATGAAAACAAAAGGTCGATTAGACAAATGAAGGCTAAGAGGAAACAAAGATAATAGAGAAAGGAATATGAGAAACAATGTGAAAACTCATCAGGCTGTGTAAGAAGCTAATATTACTATGGTAGATTCAAGGTGAGAACAAACTGTTTTTCAATACATAAAGGGGATTTGAATATTTGTATGAAGAAGGCTTCAATAAACCTTAGTATATGCCATTTAACATTTTTGTACAATACAATAAAAGCCGTGTTACGATCAATCTTATGATATGTTTCAACCATATGTTTGGCAACAGAGTTATTTGGATTTATGTATTTTTGTAAATATTTAGGTACGTGTTCAGACACCTTTAAGTGGTGTTGTACAAAAGTGTTAAACGGCATATACTAAGTCATTATATGTGAAAATTATATTTGAAATATTCTCAGCGATTGAAATATAACTAATTCCAACGTTTCGTCCAGCTAACTTGTCTGGACTTCTTCAGGGTAATAATCAAAATCAAAATTATCAAAGAAATATATAGCCTTTTAACAATCAGGATTATACTGTGTTAAACCAATAATATTTGGGTGTTGATTTTTTGTAAAATAGGATACTAAGGTTTATTGAAGCCTTCTTCATACAAATATTCAAATCCCCTTTATGTATTGAAAAACAGTTTGTTCTCACCTTGAATCTACCATAGTAATATTAGCTTCTTACACAGCCTGATGAGTTTTCACATTGTTTCTCATATTCCTTTCTCTATTATCTTTGTTTCCTCTTAGCCTTCATTTGTCTAATCGACCTTTTGTTTTCATATTTAAATGTTCTCAAGCTATAAATGATTGGTGTCAATCAGGAAGTCAAGTAACATTGCATACTTTTAGACTGTTGTAGCAGTTCTTATTATTTAAATCTATCCTATCTATAGCAATTATAAGTCCAGACAGATAATATGACCTAGGCGTCATTCTAAGCTTATTAGATATTTCGTTAATCATGTATTTATCCTTGTCTATTTCATTAGGCATAATGTTTGTTTTTAAGTGTGCCTTCCGTTTGTGTGTATGTGAGTACGAACTTACCTATCTTATTCGTAGTCTGATTAAGATACAAACTGAATTACACTCAACTAAACAGTTTTGGCTTAGGTCAATAATCTAAATCACATACGTTCTTTTTTTTCTGTAAGATTGATTTTACAAATGTCTAAAATCTACTTATCCTAAACACAACCGTATTTCGACTTGTGGTATAGCATTGTTACAAGCATATTAACTGAAAGAATGTATGAGGATCCTTAATTCATCTTTAAGAATAAAATAAAAGCGTAGTTATTCAGTCAGTTAAACAATATATATTAAAATGACATCGTAATTTTTATTGGGTTATTTCATTTATCGTCAAGTCTCTGATAAATCAGTCCTCCTCTGATAACATTATTATCAGCTTTCGCTTGTTTTCTTCTTGCATTCCATCATACGTATTAAGTTTAACAGGTTCTGTTTATGCTCGAATTCTGTGAGAGCCAAATAAAAATTGTTACATCTGTGTGGCATTAATTGAATTTCGTTACACAAGCATTACAATTTTTGAAAAGCATGTGCATTGTCCACCCAAATAACCTATTACTCACTTTTCTAGGTATTTCATTTAAATCTTAATCAAAATTGTTGTGATTAAAAGAATGATCTGTCGAAGTTTAGATTCCTAAAGTGCATAAATAATGAATTACGCAGCGATTTCAGTTTATTATGCTCAAGAATCTTCAGTCAGATAAGTATGTTCAGTGAGATGTAATCGTAATGATGAGTACGGAAAACTTCAGATTAAATGTTTGCATTAAAACGTTATAATTACGAAGTTATAGAAAACCCAGTGACCTTGATATTGCACTATCATCATCATCATCATCATCATCATCATCATCATCATCATCATCATCATCATCATCATCATCATCATCATCATCATCATCATCATCATCATCATCATCATCATCATCATCATCATCATCATCATCATCATCATCATCATCATCATCATCATCATCATCATCATCATCATCATCATCATCATCATCATCATCATATTTTAAGTTTTCCTGTGAGAATTATCAAAGTAACAAGGAGAAAATTTTGACAACAGTATTTGATTCGATCAAAATTAATGTAACCATGAAATTTTTAATGAATATTTTGAAGAAATGAACATTGATATTTTATGTTTGTTTTTTTGTTGTTATCCTTATTATTATTGTTATTAAAGTCATAAAGTATTTATTGTTGTTATTTCTTTCTAACATATTTATTTTATTATTTTGTTTACATTTCATGTTATGGTATTGCTAAAATGATAATTTCAAAGTGTTTTTGACCAAATGTTTCAACTTTTTTTTGGTTACATACTTGTGATATTCTGTTGATCTAACTTTTTTTTGAAAAAACTTCATTTTAACGATATATTAATTAGTAACCATACATATAAATGTATATGTATATATACTGTCAGCAGTTTTCATCAACATCGCAGTTTGACAACTTTGTTTTCTGTGTATAAAGTGTTGGCAAACAAAAGTATGAAAGAAACAAAGCACACTGTCTGCATAAATGAAAGATAGAGGCAAATAATGAATTATTAGACATAACATTACTTCGAAATATATTTTTTTCTTTAAAGATGAGACTAAGTTTTTTTAAAACATTTCACTGAATAAAAACATTGAAATCATGAAAATATCCTATAAATGAATAATTTTTTTACTTTTATACTTCAATGAGACCGTCTAGTTCAGACGGGACATACAGACAATATAGAGCAATCTTTCGCAATAATATATCGTGTTAACAGCGGTCTACTTATTTGCGTCAGACTGCGAATCCTACAGACGGCTGAAGCAATTGCTATTCGGATCAAAAAGCTAGAGCTGTGCATCCAAAAGAAATATGTTCAGTCACTCCTTTTACCCTCGCCAACTAGTTATAATAATCAATCTTATACTATGGTGACGTAATTTGATTAATGTTCATTTTATGTCCTAAACTTATTTTTATTATCTTTACCATTGTTATTATTATTATTACACTTGATAACCTTGTTGAGGAATTCATTCTGTATCCACTATATCTGACCTAATTGATATTATCTTTCATATTACGTAATTTTTGATTTTTATTCTATTATTTTCTCTCTCACCCCATGTTGACCATATTTATTCTGATCATTTATCGCACAATTTCAAATGATTCATGTTGACACTTTATATTAGTCAGCCCCAACATTAACGATCAGAATTGATTTTATATGACAAACAACAATCCTCAATTCACATATTACAATTTCCAAATGATGTACTGTCTTAAATCTTGGCCAATTTTATGGATTATTAATTTGGATTTATAATTGTAGAACCTGATGAGAAATTATTGAAAAAAATATTCTTCGTTCATACAATTGTGTTCTTGTTAATAATGGGAGTTTTTCAGAGGTAAAAGTTTATTCACAATTTTCTTTTCTATTACTGTTACTGGTAAAGATGGTTAGATGGAAAAGATTCACTTAAAATATTCTATAAATTTCAATTTGAATTAAACTGTAATAGAAATTTTCATTAGAATCATTGTTTTACATAATTGAATGTTTCAATTACAATTTTTATGGAAAAGGAAAAATCTATCTGAGTTAGAAGGAAAATGATTATTACTTTGTTAATATTCAAAGTGAACCATAAAACTATAAAATTTAGAAATATTGAATGGATTGAATCTTTAAATTTTTCTCCTATTTGTCAAATGCTGTCCTCGATGATATTTATAGTTCCTAGAGGATATTTCAAAGCAGAAAATTCTAGAATAAACTTCCACAACGGTTTGAAGCTCTCTACTTTATTTTAAACTATAAAGTTTTATTTCAAAATGATTTAATAATATTTGAAATGTTGCATAGTAGACTGTTTATGTAGCGATTATAACATCGCTTTATATAATTGAGATTATTAAACTATCCAAAATATATGACACGAGAAATAATTGAAATTTAATGTCGTTTTATGCATTTATTTATATTTATTTATTTGAACACAAATATTGATACAGCGGAGCACCAAATACATATGTGCAACTCAAGTCACTTGATTTGTGTGTGGGCTGTGATACTGCCCGGGTGCTCAGATCGAAGCAGGTCTTAAGAAGGTTAAGGTCTGATCCACAAGGCAGTGGAGCTACGTTAGGAAATGCAGTTCCATGGTAGCCGGTGTCCAACGATTGGTTCATAAACCATTTGTTCTCTCAGGGTACTGGAGCCCATGTGCACCATTGGTTTGGAATCAGGGTTTTCCAACTCTCCTAGATGGATCTTCCGCATCCACCAACCAGGTTAAAACGTCGGACACTCGCTTTTCGTCCTCTCAATTTCGTAAACAACACCCGTGGTGCGAGAAGGTAGTGAGTAGGACTTTCCTGGCAGTGGTTGTATACGCGTGACCATGTGAGAGCGTTTGGAAAGAGAGAGATAACTCTCCGCATCCTCGTCCGTACCAAGGCGTTTGGGGGCTAAAGCTGTGGCGATTGATGAGGGGCTTTTATTATACTGAATTGTGATCAAAATACTGACTACTTAATATTGATGAATAACGATAGTAACGGAAATTTGTAAGTAGTTGGAAAATTCATATTATCATCAACATGAACAGAGTGTATATAAATATCATTTAATAGAAAAGCTGAAATAAAATGGGTATAATACATCTGTAACGAATATTCTTCCCTAACGTTGTTCAATGAGGTTGTTAAGAATTTAGTTATAGGTTAAATCACTTTCGTTTAGACAATGTTTGATTCGACTGAATTGTTAATCATCAAACATTTTTCATTATAACTTTGATTGTTTTGATAAATCGATAATATACGGTTTAAGTGATGTCTCAGATACTGTTAATTCTTTGTAATGTTAGTACTTTTTATACCCATTCGTTCATTGTTAGGCCTAAAAGAAAATATTTGGTCTCCTCTTCCTCCATATTTCACATTCGTCATTTCATATCATTTTAACTTGCTAGTAAAAAATGCTTAGCGCTTTTGATAACTCAGTATGGATTTGAGTCCTGTATTCAGCACCATGGGTGCGCATTGTTGAGGAGTTTCACACCAGGATGAAACGATCGTCCAGTGCTTTAAGGTTTTCAATGATGGGCCAGCTTAAATCGACTCATAAATTCAACTATTATAATGTTCAATCATTGTTGTGTATTGTGTTTTAGGTTTCGTGATTTTCATATTTTACGGCTATATTGTAAAAGTTTTTGCTTATATTTTGGTTACAAATTGCTTTTAAATATTATTGCATTAATTTCAGATAACTTACAGTTTATTATTTCATATTTTCATACTGATAATCTCTATCAATAACTAACTTCATACTGTAATTTACCTTCTGAAAACGTTTGAATTTCGTCAGTAATGAGTACATTTATCTTTCAAGTTAGAAAAAAAAACGCACTTTCTCTCTTCAAAGGTAACAAAAATAATTGAAGATTTTCATGTAGGTCTTTTTGATTTGTATGATTTGAGGTTTATTTTTATTACAAGGTTATATAACTCGTCTTTTTTTTTCTTCAAAAAGAAAAATTAATATTAAGTTTTTTGATCTGATAGTTCTATGTGTTTATATATGCAGATACATGTGGTGTTGTAAGGACTGTTGATTTTTTGTACTTTATTTATTTTGTTTTTGAATGCAAAACAAGAAAAATATTCTTTTAGTCTATACAACCGAACCAATCCGAATACATTGAAGTACTTATACTTAATATAACATAATATATATACATATGCATAACATACAAGACTATATGTATGTATAAACAATCGTAGTAAATAAGTAACATTCACATACATACATATTTTACAAACAACTAACAACCATCTGGTATACAATAATATATACTTATGATTAAAAACTTTCAATCGTATTTCACTTTTTTTTTCTTCCTATGCATAATAATCCAAAAGAGAAAATGTCCCAATTGTATTTATAGGTATATACTGTTAAATAACACATATATACATGTAAATAACTAGACAGTTATATATCATATATATATATATATATATATATATATATATATATATATATATACTTGAAAATTAGAGACAAATTGAGCTTCTTCAAGAAAAGTACATTTTAAAAAAGTTAGTTATAACAATAATCATTTGACAACGATTCAATCATCAACTTTTATATACTACTCTTTATCTATTAAAAGCTTCTCATAGTTTATATATTTTTCTTAAATATTACTATTACCAATATTATTGTTATTATTATTATTCAATTGTATTTCTTCTTCTTCTTCATTATACTATTTCTATTTGATATATTTCATGAAAAAAAATTATCATTAATATAAATTCATTTATTAAAATAATTAAGTCATTAATTCAATTAATAAATGAATTATAATTATTATTTTAATTAATTTCATTCAATAGTGAAAAAAAACATTTCAACATCACATAATCAATAAACAATTAATTTCAAAAGAAAAAAAACATATTTACAAAACTATCATAAATCATTTGATTGAATTGATCAGTTTGAAAAATAAAAGAAAAAAAACAGGACAATACAAAATAAAATCAATTGAGAAGTTATAGATATCGATGTTTTTACCTTCATAATTATTTGATCATTCAATAAATAAATAAATAAATAAATAATTATTGATTTATTTATTTACATTCATTAATAAATTAACTAAAATAATCCAATCTATTCAATAACTTGAATCAAATTGAATCATCCAAGTAAGTGATGCATAATTTTTATATGATTTTATTGATTTGTATTTCCTTGTCAAAAAAAAGAAGGATCCTGATCATAGTTGTTTCTTAGTATTGTAAAGTCATATTAAGTTTCTTATTGATTGTTTAAATATTTTCATTGTTTAATTCATTTATGATAATTTATTCTTTGAAATATGCATACTGTTATAGATCTCTATATAGATATGTATCGTTGTATATTATTCAAAACCTCAGGTATATACTATAGTGTATTGATATGCATGATATTACAATATGACACCAATAAAAGTATTTTATCCGACTATAATTCCTTATGATTATTCTGACTGGAATATTGAGTATTAATTAATTGGGTGTTTGTATAAAATAGAAATTAAGCTTAGTAACAAAATTGTTATGAAGTCATGTTTCAATATGACTTAGTGTGCACTGTATTGTATCATTACCTGAATAAGACGACACTTTTTAAAATCTATTATTATTATTATTATTGCTATTAACACTATGAATTAATTTTTCGGAAGTGGTTTTTATGCTTTGGTATTTGTGAAATTGATAAATATTAACATATGACTGACTTTGACAGTTATTTTATTTTTTTATTACAATTATTTAGGATAAATGCCAATTAATATGATAGTACACTTATATGTACTTATTCCAAGTAGAATTATGTAAATATGATGACGTTTCGATCTTTAGACTTGTTAGTGTATTTTGTTGAACATAATAATTTACAGTTTTTATCATTTCGTTTTCATGATAGCGTGCAATGTACTTTAAGTAAATCATATAGTTGAAAGTAACAGAAATAAGGTTCTTGACTTAGATTAGAAATTATTCGGTACTCTTCATTAAATGTATCCAGAAACTTGTAGAAACCGATTAACCGTATAGTGTCCAAACTTGCGTCATTCACTGTAATAGTGAGAGATACTGCCATTGTGCTATTCAAATATCAACTGATCTTCTATTGGTTTGAGTAATTTACACTAAGTAGTTTCTCGTTATCAGTCATTATCAATAAACAAACATGATATTCATAGTTAACGAGTAAGAAATCAACTTACTGTAAATGCGTCTGTTATTAAATCATAATTTCTTAGGGTTATTCTCACAATGTATCTGTTTACTTGTAAATGCGTAAATATCATTACTTAACAATTAGTTATTCACGATTCGTTTAAACTATATTTAATGTACTTTAATAGAAGTTTCCAGCCCATTATTTAAGCACTAAAAATCTTGCTTAATTATTGCATTATGTCCAACAAGTTTGATTTCATTGATATTATTTCCCCTAGATTATAGTATCTTAATACAACAACAGTGTCAGTACTGTATCGATGAAATAATCTGCTAATTTAATATCAATAAACATTTTCATGAAGGATTTATGAAGATGTAATATCGTTTCGTCTCTTACTAGTTCCCTTTTTCGTATGACTTTAGTGTAAGAGAGTAAAAAAAACGCCAAATATTTGTTAGTATTTTAAAATTATATATAGTGATTTTGTAAAATCTTAATCTTCTGAATATTTAGCATAGTCAATACTTTATTAAGAGAATGTAGAAAGAGAGGATGAGTAGAAGGTTTATTTCTTGAGATTTACATTCAGAGTGATTAACATTGGAATTTTAAAGTAGTTTCTATCTTTAATCAGTTGAAACAACACTAATGGAAAACTATTCAATGTTGCTTCTCTTATTAATGAAATCATACGAGATTAGTGTGGCAGGTAAGTGTACACAAATCGCCTGAATAATCTTATAACAGGTCACAATTGTTGTTTGTTATTATCAGTGAAAGATCATTTCAATTCCATTTTGAGCTTTCAGGTCACAATATCACACAAAAATCTTAATTATATAGTCTATCACTAATAAATCATAAGTTTAGTAGAAAATAATTGAATATTATCCTAATAAATCAAAGCCTTCAATTTATTTCATAACATATTTACATACATGCCTGAAGAATTTAGTTAAATGGGTTAATTTGATACCTATGTGAAGATCACGCTTAAAGTGATAAGTAATATCATATACACTATTTTTTAAAAAAAAACTGTTAGCTAAATATAGTTTAGATTAAAGCATGTTCCGTGCAGGATTGTATTAAAGCACACTGATTGACCATTTATTAGCCAATCAGCTCTAGTGGATACATGAAGAAGCCTCTAGCATTTTTTGTGCAAAAGTTATCAATATACTAACGTTTTTCTTATTGTGATTCCTGTATCCATTTAGCCTAGGTTATTTGGAATATGATAACATTCCAGAATCCACTTAGCCTCGTTTATTTGGAATATAAGTACATTCCTTCATCCGTTTAGCCTTGTTTATTTGGAATGTAATTACATTCCTGTTCAACCGTGTTCTAATTCGGAGACTTGTCGAGTGAGTGTTCAAGAATACTAAGCAGAAAGAGTAGCTGGGTCGTAAGTAGCAAAACATTTCAGTATGAATTTCACACGATCATTTCGTCTGTTTTAATAAAATGAGATCCATATTTTTAATCCTCTCCTTTATTTCTTTTGTTGTTAAGAAACCAAATTAATAATAGTAGTGTCTCAGCAATCTGTTTTTCGAAAATGAACATTCAGACTAATTATTCCATTTTAATTCCATCGGTCAGTTTACATTGATTGTTGAATTGTGCATCATTCAAGTGCCTGAATAAAATTCACAAATATAAGTAAATAATTCTTAGTAAATATCTTCAAGTTTTCTTGTAAAGTCCATTCTCATTGACCATATGTGGTAGATTTTAGGAATTTAGATCTCTACAAATATATCAACGGTAAAAACTATGAATTTTCAATAAGTGGTGGAATTTTATATTTTAGTCAAAATGCAAACATTTTTATGCCGAATAAAATGAGGATATAAAAAGGTTGTTCCTTTTGAACTTGATTTTTATAGTGAACTAATATTGGCACGGAGGGTAGTAGACCTATGTTTCACCTCAATTGAAAGTTCTTAAGCAATTTGAATGCATGAACTTATATGGAGTCATATATAAAGCCTTAGCTAACTGTGGTTAAACCCAAAACACTTGAGAATAAATTATTTTCCACTGCTTCCTTATTCACAGTCATTTTCTTAATGATGTAACTTTATGAATAAAGGTGACTTTATTCCGATTAATTCATCAGAATATAAACCATATGTAAGCATCATTTCCATTTAAGAGCTTTGATGTTTAAAAGCTTGTATTTAAAATTAAACATATTTTATTGGGATAAAACGCAAGCAGGTATTCAGAGAAAAATTGAATGAATTTTATCTTACATGACCTTGTAGACTGAATCAACGATGTGTATACTGTAAAACCATAGACATATTGAACATTACCAACAGAAAATAATTTTAACCACGATACAAATAAGATATGGGAAACTTAGTTTTATTTACCCAACAACTGAATTAATCGAAGTGAGAGTGGAAAAAAACGCGTAAATAGTGTGTGAACAAATAAACAGATCAGTTGAGATAAAAGAATGTTTACAACAAATTCTAAAAAGTTATTTTGATATTAGAAACGTTAATATTAAGCTACACATGGTATCTGAACGATCACTTCGAAAGATAGCTCACCAATATAGAAATACACCGGCGAAGTCCTTTTTTTATTGTATCGCACTAGTTGGAACTAGAAACGAAGGTTTAAAAAATATTAACTGAGTTACTTATGCTTACTAGATATTTTGTTAGGTTCTTGTGAAGATTAATATAAATTGAATCTGATATTTGTCAAGTATTGATATCAATTAGGGTATCAGTGAAAACTATGCAGCATAAAACAGCTGTTTCGTTTCAAATTAAGCCTACTCAGTAGCATACAACTACCAGTTCATGATAAAATAAATGAAATCACAACAAATATCCTTCCATTTGCAACAACATTGAACTACTGAATAAAAATCGTTATGATTTGTACTTTCCAACTGTAATACAACTTCATATTCGTCTAGTGTTTTTTGTTGTTGTTGTTGTTGTTAAGTTGTTATCTTGCTTACATATTATTTACTCAACTGAATAGTTAAAGTTTTAAATTAAACTCTAGAGGTATATTTTTTTAAAAAAAAGGAAAAGAAAATGACCTTCAAGTAATTTGACAAAACACACTAAGTAAACAAACTATGAACTTGTGTGATGTTAATGTAGTTGAAAATTGAAATGACAAATTTACAAACACATGATAATCGTTTAAAAAGGAATGTTACTTTATTTATTTTTTATTTTTTAAATTTTATTTTGCACATTAAATCACATTAAAATTTAACGTAAACAGTCATTTATAATGTAAATTGTAAATAGTTTGTCATTCCATTAAAAGACTTTTATTATGTGCTAGATATTTTGAACAGTTTATTCTAAGATAAAACAACATTTCGACCATGGAAATGAATTATATAGTAATATTTTCATAGTAAATGACATTATACCTAAGGCCATTCACATATAAAGTAAAGTTTGTTGTCAAGTGTAACTATTGTTAGTTACAAAACACGATCTTTCTGAATAAAGCATCTTTATTCAATCTGGTATTGTCTTTATAGATTTAATTAGTGTTGTGACTGATAACAGGGAATAGGAATGGTTTGAAAGTAAATAAACTTCAGTTATGGTCATCAGAAGCACACTCTAATTTATATTGTTTAATGTAAATAATTTTTCATTTGTTGATTCTAACTAAACAGATCAACAATGTTATCAAAGTGTAGAATGATAAATTAATGTTTGAAACAAGATTATATTCATTATAAGCAAAGATGGGTGGCAATATCGAACCAATACGCATAATATGCACATATACCAATAAGAGACAGATCAATTGCTGTCCTAATCATCAATGAAAAGATTCAAGTAAATAATACGAAGAGAAGTTAAGATTATATTCAGTTTTCATTTTAGAGCTACTGTTTATCATTACGGGCCTTTGCCTCAATACTTGAAGGTCTTTGGTTGATCCCATGTGGAGTCATGAATATGGA